TTGGAGCTGGCCCATTATACTTCCTTGTGTAATATTCCACACTTTTCACTTTTGAGTAGTTCTGGGTGAAGAGCATACCTGTTTTGGATGTAGTGCAGTTTTCCCCACCTGGGTACCACTTCTTGTGGTACATATTTGTTCTAGGCAGATGCTTTCTGTATGAACTATGCTCTCACTAGCCCCACTACCTTCTCAGTGTGGGATTCTAGCTATAAGTGGCAGAGGAGGTATGTATGTTTTGGAAGTTATCATTTTCCTAATCAGAAAATGTATTTCCAAACATACCTACTGCTGACACTCTCCCTCCCTTCCTCCCCACTAAGAGCCGGTGTTAGTGACTGAGATGGGGTAAGTCTCAAAAAAGTTATTATATTGTCTGCATACAGTGTGTATATACAGTACCTGCATAGAGGGCCAGTGTAAAGTTTTGCAAATTAGATATTGCCAAGGGCAGTCGGATGGGGTATAAAAGACTGTAGCAAGCGAACAAACTGTTTAGTTGGCAAAGAACAGTGGAAGATGCAGACTGAGAAATAGCTATAGGTGTCAGCAGAGGTAAGTATATTTGGAAATACATTTTCAGATTAGGAAAATTATAACTTTTTTTTTTCCTTTAAAATGGTATTTCTAAGTATAACTTGACATTTATAAGCATATTGAGAAATGTTATTAGTTAAAATATAAGTGTAAAAGAAGTACACCTGTCTAAACAATATATTGCCACACATCAATGCACTTAAAACAAAGCAAATGGAAGTGCTAGTTAACATAATAAATCTGTAGTTTGTTGTAAAAAAACATTTTGTTAAGACATTTCTCATCAGTTTATCTTGTCTTGATGCACTTTTGGTATTTTAGTTCAATATCTGGTTTGTATAAAATGCTCCATCAGTTAAGTAAGTTTTTATGGAGCTTTATGATTATAATCCTTATATTTACATTCAATAAAAACAACTATTCTATATGTATCTTTACAATTTGGTACTTTAAAGTCCTTACGAGTAGTGCATTTTTTTTTATTCACATCAAAGAAACCAAAATTAGACTGTAGTCGAGATTTGTCTTTTAAAACTATATTATATCTGTTAAAAAGTAAAACACAATTTTAAACAAAGAACCATACATCAACAAGATATATTTATTAAACCTTAATAAAACTCTAGTTGTGACTTCTTTGTTTCATGTTTTGTGTGTATATATGATGATTTGATTTGATTTTTTTTTACAAATTTCTTCATATGAAATTGGTGAATGGAGGTTAACACTGACAGACAGTGTATCCCCACTGCAATGTGGGTCCTACTTCCGCAGTCACCTCCAAATCTCAGGGCACATTTTATATCCCACATTATAGCCTGTACCCTGGGGATCCGTTTTAATGTTCCTGTAATTGTTATTAACCGACAGGCTTGTTTCTGGCTTGAAAAAGAGCTTTTGCTCGAAATGTTGCCAAGTTATTAAATTATTGCCATAGTTTTTTTTCTATAGAAGTCTAATTTAATACTATGTAGTGTATACACTTCTAGACTTGTTATTCCAGACAATGCAGTATTGTTTTATATGTTTATAAGAGTGTTCACAACAATGTTGAGACCTTAAGTGATGTTTGTATATGGTGTTACAAACAAAACACACAAAAAATAACAATGAACGTGTATAGTTTGAATTAAAATTACAGAAACATAACTTAAATAGCATTATGCTTAAATCCTCACTTAACAAAATGCCAATTTAACATCAGTCTGTTAAAGATTTAATGACTAGTTCTCACAAAAAGTCAACAGTTAATAATGTTAATTATTATAGCTAAGGAAGCTTAACATGTTAACATTTCTCTAGGCACAATGAGGCTCACCTGGCATTCAAAATATAACTTGGATTACTATAGAACATTTCTGCAGAGATGATGGTTACTGGAATTACCAGGTACTTAACAGAAAGTCTACTAAGTTGTGGAATGGGCATTATCTGCTCAGAAGTTATATGGGTTACCTTGTAGATGTAAAGAGTGAGTGGCCATGTACTTATTTACTTATTCTTCAACAATCATTTCAGGAAATTTCTGTAGTATGAACATGTTTTGTAAATTATTGTAAATTATTGTAAATCGACAGCTGCTTCAAACCAGCAGTGGTTGTTTTCTTTGTTGGTAGTTTTTAAACTTCCTGGGAGTTGAAACTACATGAAGGTGTCTCCCTTCCACAATAGACTGACTTTGCTCATTATCCCTGAAAACTGAGTATTTGGTCAACAGTTGAATAACTTCATCCTTTATCATATTCATTTAAGAATGGCATATCTTTAAGTCTGATATCCAGAAAGCACACTTCCATCATGATGTCAAAATTAGCAGCTGATATATATATCTTTTCAAGATCATCTGTGCTATCACTCCTGAATCAACTTTGGCCTGTTCTAGGAGGATGTTTAATTCGTGCAGTGTAGTTAACAAATTTGATACAGTGACATAAGATTCATTGCTGAAGTCTTGAGTAAGTTATGAAAAAAGCTCCAAAATTTCAACCAGCTTTAATCATTTCTAATTTTGGTATTAACTCTGGTTTATAAAACTCCATTGGTGTTGCACATATGGATTGTTGTTGCTTTACAATTATCCTCAACATGACATAAATGCTGCTCCATTAAGTCTCGAAATGTAGAATCACCTCGTGTTCTGGTAAACCAAGTTGTTTTTGCTTGTTAACAAGTATTTGGCAATAGCATTTAATTGAAATGCTCAGCCAACTTAGAACAGTATGTGATCACTTTGTCCATTCCTGCATTTAATCCTTTCTTGATAACCAAGTTCAAAGTATGACCAAAGCATAGTATGCACATATTAACTTTTGATCTATATTACTGATAGTTTTCACACAGTTGAAAGTGTTGTCTGGCACATTTACTTCTACCTTCAACATATTCCAACTTTCTAGAACTGGGTAACAGCCTGAGCTATAACTTCAGCAGTATGAGGTGATAGGTCACAGTTTTGAAGAATATAGGTTTTCAAAAACCATTGTTGGTTTATGAAATAAACAGTCAACCCAAAATACCGGTCATTCGCTCTAGAGCTGGGTCTCTCAACCTGGGTTCCAACCTGCTCTTTAGACAAATAAGATTGAAGGATATAAAAATTTTCTATCACGTCAGCTAGACAATATTATAGAGACTATTTTATGTCAAATATTTGAATTCTCAGAGGAGAGGTAAATAATTTAAAGAAAAGGCAATGACAAGAAAACAATGTGTCACAATTCTCACACTAGGGAATATTGAGGATGTTTTTAAACATTTTTTTGAATAGAATTAAGAACTTTAAACTTATATAATATTAAATTTAATATTTAATCTAATGTTATGTTTCAATTTCACCTGCAATAATGAGTTAATACATATAATGTGTTTCTCATATATATATATATATACACACACAATAGGGTTCCACTGCAAATAAAGGTTGAAAATCCCTGCTCTAGAGGTTCACATGCAAAAAGTAATGACCATGTCACTTGTCTTAGAAAATTGGTCCATCCATAACTTCTTGAATGCTGATGTACAGAGTTGGGATAAGAATCCCACTTAATTCTTTCCTTGATGGCACTTGATATTTTGGATCAAGATATTCAAGCAATATTACAAAGCTAGATTCTTCTACAGTTCACAGTGGATACATACACTTAGCTATGTAGTTTATTAATACATCTGTCACCTTTTTCTGCTTCATGTTCTTTTTAGGATACTTGGTTTTAGCTGTTAAAGACTTGTATAGTTGACTGTCCTTTCAGTGATTGTTGTACGGATGTTGAACTTGCAATGTTGTCACTAAAGTTGCTGGTAACTGATGATTTATTTTCAGTTAAAGCCAATATTGCTGGAATTTTAACAATAATGTTTTGATGCTTTTCCCTAAATGCAGCACTCTAGAGAAGTTATAAATGGTTTTGCATGTTCATAGTATTGCTCATAAATTTCAGCATTGCTTCACAAGTTATGCACACATGTTCATTTATGATGGTATTCTCAATAGCCAAAAGGTTCCCATACAGCTGATTTTTTTTGCAAATTATTCGTCTTTACAAAACAATCAATGTCTTGTTCACTCCTTTGCTCTGCTGTTGCTAATGGTTGTTTTCTATACACACTATCACTTTATGACTGTGAAGTTAACACACATGACATGTAATTTCGCTTTTATTTGCCTATGCATTAGATGTAGATTTGAGAATATTTTAGACTACTAACTTTTAACCAATCTTCATTAGTATAGTAAAGGGTGCTGCACAAACAGTCATAGTTGAGAAAAATGGTTTAAGAAAACTGGGACATTTCGTACTTAGTAAACTAATTCTTTATTTAAATACCATTATTGTTAAAGAAAAGAGTTTATAGTAGATAGAGGAATAGCTGCAATGTGAAAGATTCTTAACATATGTGAATGATGTCTTAGTGTTTGGTAACATGTTAGAGTCTGCAGCTAAGAACTTGAAAGTGGTATTCCTATGGATACAGGTCTGTATATGTCTTGTTTACTAACTACAGACTACATTTATTGCTATGATAACTGTTGACAACTGGCATTTATAGCAGAGCATACTGCAGGATAAGGTTTAAGGTAAAACATTGGACATACTCAGACAAGACTACACTGTACATAAAATCATTTCATGTATGTAGAAAACTATTATTGCCAATTGTAAAAACAGATCCAACTATGATATTAGTGTTCACTTTGAATTATTCGATAATCATTTGTTAAAGTACTTTTATAACATCCTGTTCAGTCTGTAATTTATTTGTTTTTCTATATTTTATGTCCCACAAACTGCCAGTGTCCTGCAAAACTAATGAAAATTAATTTTCATTAGCCAAATATTTGGTTATTCAACCAAAGAACTTGGTCTGATACTTAGTACCAAAACTATTTCTATTAAGCACAAAAATGTTTAACATTGTTCACTTAAAAATGGATAATAAGAGTATTTTGGTTTTTGTATTCCTAGCTTGTGAAACAGAAGATAGTTGAAGATAAGAAAAAGGATGCAGAACCTTGTGTAAGTCTAGAATCTAATGACTCAACACCAGTTCTCCCTGCAGCTAAATACCAAGCAAAAACAGTTCCCAGGCTGGTAAGTTAGTAACCAAAACTTGAATGATGGAAAGATACTGTCTATTTAATATTTAAAATTATTTGGGTATAGAAATAGTTTAAATAGAAGTACAGTATAATTGGGAAAATGGTAAACACTTAAAAATATATAAAGATTATTTATTGGGAAAAAAAATTAACCTAATTGTTCCAGATGATTAAATGCTGGTATCAGTAGGGTAGTTTTTCCTACATTCTTAACATGTACATCAGAAGTCATAGTTTTGTTTTTGTATAAAATATTAGAATAATGTATATGTATGTAAGAAATAAGGAGGGTTGTCCTGGATTATTCAAGTGTCTTGGGTTTCTCAACTCCAAAGGTTTTAAGAAAAGATTAACCTTTCAAAGTTGTTGGTTGCCTTTATAATGATATTTTGCAATCACAAATTTCTTTTATACATATCCACTAGAATGATGTATTTGATATCTTTCCGAGGATGCACATAATCACAAGAAGTGTTCCCTGATATTAGGTCATGTCTTTTGTGTAATACATTATTTTGGTAGTCATAGAACTTGTTACATTACAGAACTTTTATGAGTAGATTACCTTGTTCAGACCTCATTCTTTCTGTGGAATATTCTTTTTATATTTTTGTGTTTGCAGTTACTGCAAAAGCATTTAGATTTCCCAGTGCTTTAAACTTTTATAAGATTCCCCTTCTGGAGGTTCACAAGCTCCATTCAGTGGAATTGAATGCTTTTCATGTGTGCGTGTGTGTCTCTATCTATATATACTTATCTCTCAATGCATGCTTATAATTTGAGAAATAACAGATGTTGTATAGAGAATTATTCATTAATTTTTTTATTGTTGTCTGTACATTGATAATGTTCTTTGAATTATTGTCTATATTTTGTAAAAGGGATACATAAATTTCTGTGGACATTGTCTTTCTCCATCATATATGCTATGTGGATCTAAAGTTCTCAAATCATATGCTAGTGGCTTAGGATATCTTGTACAATGTTCTGGATTCCCACTCCTTCATGTTATTCTATTACTTTTTTGTATTTCAGTTGAAATGAAAGTTTTGGTTTTTTGTCACCCATTGTAACACTGTTAGTTCAGTATGTCCAAAAATGTTTGTTAGATGCTCAAATTAATCTTTTATTATAATTATGAATCATTATAACCCATGTTTTGTGTAAAATGTTCACAAGAATGAGTGTAACTTTTCAGAATTATTGACATTAGATAGAAAAAATGTTCATTTGTACAGAAAAAGAACTTCAAATTAGATGCTGTACGCAGCGCAAAACACATTTACTGTGAAAATTGATGATGTGTTCAAGGCACAGTTGTAGTTGTTATCTTTACATCAATGGCATCAGTCTATTAACTCTTTCGAGACTTGTCAGGGGTGAAAGGCCATGTCATTTCGTTTGTTGACTCGCATTCAAAATTTTATTGTACTACTATTTCATGAATTTTTGTCAATAAGTTTGGTATCAAACTGTAGATTATAATTCAAATTTTAGTACTATACATTACTCAATTTTTTTAATTTAAAAAGTAAATATTAAAAAATACAGATAGATATTGATTTTTATGTGTGTATGTTGAATGCAGCACTTGTTCAAATTAGGTCTATAGTTTTTTATGAATTAGAAACTCAAATTAACGATGTTGACAAGCTTGAATATAAAATATGAAGGTCTTATCTTTTCTATTTGCTAAGATATTGCTCATATAATAAATCAAACACAGTGTCACCCCACCCACCTCTTTCCATTTTTGGAAATTCTCCTCTATATACACTTACTTCTATATATGACATGAATAACCAATCAGAAGCTCAGATGTCCCTTTAGTGGCTTTCTCAGCCATTTTAACGGGCTTGGGTGCCATTTCTTTCTTTTGAACTAATACGTCAAGGATGTTGAGTCTGCTTGAAATTTTATATTTTTTTACCCTAAAATACATCTTGTTTACTAAGCTTGATAAATTATTGTGGAATTATGTGGTATTGATGTAGTAATTTATGATTTTTTTAGTTATTCAAATGTATATATAGAACCTAGAAAAAATTGTTTTGTTACATATCCTCCACATGCAAAATTTTTAAAGTCTTAGCAACCTACATCAAGCAGCAACCAAGTACAAAGATCATAACTAGAAGAGATGATTGTTTGCTTTACTTCATTTACTGTTTTATGTTTTAAGAAATATGAGTTTAAGAACTTATTTCAAAAATAGCAATAAGCTATTTACATATATAATGTATAATAATTGAAATGTGACTGTATTTTATAAAAT